TTTTTTTTTTTTTTTTTTTTTTTTTTTTTTTTTTTTTTTTTTTTTTTTTTTTTTTTTTTTTTGTAAGAGTGAAAATCTCTCTATTTTAAATTTTTAAGGAAAATTCGAAAGGGAAAGAGGATAATATATGCAGCAGTGGACTTAGGCCGTAACAAATGGTATAAGAGCTAGACATCTGGAAGGAGGTTGAGCTCCAAAGGAGGTGGACATTAAGTAGTGTTCCAGTGAGGATGCCTGGGCCCCGAAGGGGGGATTAAAGGGGTCTCACATCAATTGGAGAGAGGAATGAATGTAAGCGAGGATGCTGGACCTCGAAGGGGATGGATTTTGAGATCTCATATCGGTTGGAGAGGGGAACGAAACATTATTTATAAGAGTGTGGAAACTTCTCCATAACATATGTGTTTTAAAACCTTGAGGGGAAGCCCGGAAGGAAAAGCTCAAAAAGGAAAATATTTGTTAATAGTGGGCTTGAGATGTTCCAAATGGTATCAGAGCCAGACACCAGGCGACGTGTCAGTGAGGAAGTTGAGCCCTGAAATGGAGTGAACATCAGGCGGTGTGCCTGCAAGGACACTGGGCCTCGAAGGGGGTGGATGGAGAGGGGAACGAGTGCCAGCAAAGACGCTAGGCCCCAAAGAGGGGTGGATTGTGAGATCCCACATCGATTGGAGCGTGGAATGAAACATTATTTATAAAATTGTGGAAATCTTTCCCTAACATACGCAGCGTAAAACCTTGAGGGAAAGCTCAAGGTTACCGTCTAAAAATATCGAAAAATATCGAGAAACAGTGAGTAATCAACATACCTTGTGGAGGTAAAACTTGACATCCCCAACGATAACAGTGATATCTTTAGCTAATTCACTTACAACATACCTGAAACATAAATAAAACTCACATAAAAGATTGTTAAGTTGGTGAACCCCAACTCACCGCCGGGAAGCGGCGGTTCCCGGCGCCGGAGCTGAATGCAAAAACCCAAGAGATCATCACAATAACATTGCCACAACATGAAATGCAAGAAGCCAAAAGAGATCACTCACCTAACATTGTTCCCATCAGTCTGAAAGGAATCAGGTTTTGATCCAAGTTTCATGAACTTCATCTTCACAAACAAGCAATGAGCTTAAAATCTTAAACCCAACAACAAAATTACAGCAAAAATCACCTCACAACTTCAAACAAGCACCAAGAACACGATGAACAACCTTTCATAAAGCCACAAAACAGAGAAAAACAGGATTTCAAAGAAAAAACCAAGGCAGAAGCTTAGTAAGAGAGAGAGAGAGATGCGTTTATGAAGTATTTTAAGAAGAAAAAGAGTGTTTTAAATGGGAAAAAAGGCCAAGAAAGTGGCTGTTTCCTTGGTCGGCGGCAAAGCCCACGGAGCCCGGGTCAGCAAGTCAGCTGTGGAGACATAGCCAACAGACTTCAAAACACTAAAAAATTACCAAATCTGACTCCAAATCACAGCCCCATCTCTGTGTTTTCTCCTCTTTTAAAACCCCTTTTTTTAAAGCTTCAATTCGCAAACCCCAACATATGCTATTCTATGCTATCATGCTTAAACAGCATCTGGGTATCACTTTAATTAAGCCAACAAAACCGTAGACAACAAGTATCACATAAACAAATATGTTTTAACACTATCGATGAATCAGACATCAACTACCCAACCAACACCCAAATCTGTATGAAAATTGCACTGAAAATCTAAGGAATCTACCAGAATATATCAGTGATGAGGAAAATCTAGTTAAAATATTTGGTCAAGAATCATCAAGATCAAGTTTTTAATTATGTATAGTCTGTAATTCAATAAACCCACATGAACAAATTGGATACAAATCAAGGAGAACAGAAAGACAGCCTCCCCATAAGCCACTCCCCGTGTAAATCACAACAGAACCCAAGATAAAGTAGAGAGGCAAAAATGGCAATTTGTGAATAATAAATGATGAGTTTTTTCTTAGCCACAAAACTAAAGCCTTTTGAAAAAGATGAAAGCTTTCAAAAGAAGTAAGTAATGAATCTGTTTTCAAGACAACTCCTCTCCTAAAATGAACGTCAAAACCCACGGCTAGTAAATATGTGTGGTTGTTAGTCTCGTGATATTAAAGCGCGTTTACTAGGGAAAGGTTTCTATACCCTTATAAGAAATGTTTCATTTCCCTTTCCATTCCCTTTCCAACCGATATGAGATTTCACAATAATGCGGATAATATTTGCCAGCAGTGGGTTTAGACAGTTACAAATGGTATCAGAGTCAGTCACCGAACGGTGTAAGACACTGGTCAAAGTAGGACGAGACCCTCTCCATAGTAGACGTGTTTTAAAACTGTGAGGAAAAAACCCAAAAGAAAAAGACTAAAGGGGACAATATCTGTTAGCGATAGACTTGTTAAATAAAGTGACGTTTACAAGGGTTTATATGAATTCTACTTACCACTAATGAAATGCAAAAGTTGTTAAGCACAGTGAGGTGTGAGCATAAGCAGAACAATTTTCCATTTCAGAGCTCAACAGAGAACAAAGGAAAGGACACAAATGTTGTTTCGAGGAAGGTGAGGTAATAAAACATGTTGGTTTGTGTCTTGTTGATTGTCTCAACCTAAATCGATCCATTTTCCTTTTCTCTGCAATTTTCTCGACAAAGCTGTGGTCGAACACTAGCTTTGATTTGCTTAATTCATTGCTCTTCTTCAACAAAACAGATTGATTCGTGCATGTTTTCAATGGTTATTATCTTGATTTATATGACTTTATTAATGCAATAACTGAAGTTAGATTATAATAAAAAACTGTGTAGAGTTAGATAAGAAGGACCTATTGGTTTGAGGGAAACTAGAGATGTAGTTAAATAAGCTGCAGATACAAAACGGATGAGAGGAAATGAGAGAAAATTAGATTCATCAACGGCTCTTCTCGTAAATAGGATAGACTACAAATTTGACCCAAAGCAGAGTTTATAAAATCGTATGATTTTTTCAATCTAAAATAAAGATGGCTTATGTCCTGATAGCTAGTTCAACTCGAGCCTGTTGCACCCATACTTATAAAATAATATCATTAACTTAGAATAAGAGCATCATAATCTTTTTGAATAACTTTTACCTGTCAATGGAGAAGAGAAGAGAGAGGGTATTTTATTGAAGCATTAAAAAAAGAGAGAGGTTGAAAGGGAAGACGTCACTTAGTAACATAGCTAACTCATTGAGGAGCCCAAGAGATTTAAAGGTTAAGCACATGGTGCTGACTGTGCCAACATTGTTATCTCTAAAACTAATATTAAACTCTAAAGATTCCTGCAGCCTTTGAAGCTCTCTCTTTCTCTCTCTGTTCAAACTGAAAAAGATGAGATTTTGGTTGAACTTGTGCTGCCAAAAGTGCTTCATGAGATAGAGAGAGAGATCCAGAGAGTCAACGGCTTAATCAGGTGTATCAAAAAGAATATTTTGTGTATGTTCTTCCAAACCTGTAGTTCATAAAACATGATTCAATACGTTCTTGACCATTCTAAATGCATATCAAAGAAATAACAGCATGAATTGATATCAGAAAAGATCAATCCCTTATTTCAAGGGGAATCACATCTACTAGCTGTTGTTCATTGTCTGGCACTGCAAAATCAGTGAAAATGAGGGCAAATTCATGGGAGACAAGGTAACAATCTCAGATCAATTGGGAGACTGAAATCCAAAAAAATTCTTTAATTTTCTTCATCAAAGTCAGTACTGTTTTCATACATTATATATATATATATATATTATATGTTTGAAACTTCGATTTCATAACAAAAGGCACATGGCCACTAATTCCCAAGGCTGCAACAAAATTGGTATTTACAGTACTAATAATGTCTTTGCCTGCATATTAAACACAAATTTCTGAACCCACAACTTCATTTGGAATCATGACAGCCATTGGCTGTGTGGTATGTTCACTACATAATCCAGAAGAATCACATGATCTAATCAATAATATTAAAGGCATACCATCAACGGCTGCACTCTCGTTATATTAAAAACTAATTCAAATCACGGATTGAATAAAAAACAAGTTTCAAGGTTCCAATTACTAATTAGTGAACTAGACACTTACGACTCTATTTCTATTTACCTTTTCTAATCACTCAAACTATGGGTAATTTAAGCTCAACTTGCATGTTAGTAAGTTTGGTCTTAAAGGAATGAGTAGATCCAAGAAGTTTTTATAACAAATTGAAGCTAGTTTGATTTTTGGAATGCCCACCAAGATGGGGGAAACTTCAAGGACTCCATGATGCAAGAAAAACCTCTGATCATTATGAAATTGAATTAGATTGTTTCGTGGGAAAGTGAAAGCACAGGACGGAAAGGAGAGGAGGGAGCTTCTTGGCAACAGATGTTTGTTTGAAATATCTTGGGGGAATGGTGGAAGGAAAATTTGGGACAAGATAAGGAGAAAAGGAAAGGGATTATACTGTTTGTTTGTTCGCTTTTTACTGTAGGTAAAGGGCGATTTGTAATAACAAAGTGGGGTTGCAAATTAATTGAGACCCAAAAGATGTCACTTTATATGTGTCAGAATGTTTAAACCATAGAAATGAGGAGATATGAGACACACCATGCAAAGAAAATCTAAGCTGACCTTTTGGATGTTGCCCAATTATTGCTATTGTATGATGTCCCTGCATGCTTGAAAAGCTTCTTGGCCCCATTCCTGCTTGGATCTTCACCCAACTCAAACCCTCCACTTTCTCACTATGTATCTGTATTTAAAAAAAAAAAAAAAAAGCAAATAATGATAGCAAGACTAAACACTACAAAGCTGAATCATTCATGGGTAGCCTAAACTTTCTTCATATTCTCTTTTAAATTTAGTGGTGGGATAGATTTTCAACCTTGAGCCAATAGCAAAAGAAGGCATATATTGTCGTAAGCATTAGATCAGACTTTTTCAATTATGGAATTGAAATTAGAATCAAATACGATTCAATTTGTGAACCACTCATTTCCAACAAGGTTTGAACTATAATCTAGTTCATCTTCCAGTGATGTGATCAAACCACTCATTTACGCAACCATGAAATTTTGCTCTTCTTTTTGGATATCTGTGGTGTGAAGTTTAACCAACATCTTTGGTTCTTAAGCAACCTCAAGTTGTGTTGTCCAAAGCATTTAGGGTAAATCAGGAAAGCTCGTTGGAAGGGCAAAAAATATATGAATAATATAAGTGTTATCCGTATCCTTGACAATAATTGAGGAAAGTTTAGAGAAGCACATCATCTGTACACATTAGCATACTACTGATGGGTCCATCCCAAAATCCAAGGCTCCGTCTCTCTCTCACCTCGCCAAGAACACAAAACAGATGTTTTGAAAGAGAGAAAATACAAAAAAAAAAAAAAAAAAAAAAAAAAAAAAAAAAAAAAAAAAAAAAAAAAAAAAAAAAAAAAAAAAAAAAAAAAAAAAAAAAAAAAAAAAAAAAAAAAAAAAAAAAAAAAA